GCGGATGGCGGATGTGGTGGTCGGTGGTGGGTGGGTGACGGTGGTTGGATGGTAAGGTGGTATAGCGAATGGGTGGTGGTGGTGGTCTGGTGGCAAGGTGGATGGCCAGATGGCGGATGGCGGTGTGGTGATGTGGCGGGTAGATGGCAGTGGTGGTGGTGGTGGTGGTGGGTGGGTGAGTGACGGCGGCGGTGGTAGAGTGGTAGCGAGTAGGTGGTGGTGTAGTGGTGGTGGGTGGTGGTGGTGGTGTGAGATGGTGGAGCAAGGTGGGTGGTGGTGATGATGATGGAGTGGTGGTGGTGGTGGTGGAATGGTGGTGGTGACGATGGCGGGTGGTAGGTGGTAGCGAATGGATGGTGGTGGCAGTAGTGGTGGCGGCAGGTGGGTGACCGAGTGAAGTGAGTAGTGGGTGATGGTGTGGTGGTGGTGGGTGGTGGTAGTGGTGGCGAAGTGGGTGACAGGTGGCGGTGTGGGTGAGGTCCGTGACAGGTGGCGGTGAGTGGTGGTGGCAAGGTAGATGGCAAGCTGGTGGTGGCGGCGGTGATGGTAATGGCGGGTGGTGCGGTGTGGTGGTCAGGTGGAACTGGCGGGTGGTGGTGGTGGGGCGAGGGTGGGGTGGTGTGGCTAGTGGGGCGCAGGTGGTGTTTTGGTCTAGTGGGTGTCTGTGGGTAGTCTGGTTGGGTAGTGGTGGCGGGTGGTGGGTGGTAGTGGCAGGTAGGGTGGTGAGGTGGTGGTGGCAGGTGGTAGTGGGAGTGGGCGGTGGGCTGGTGGCTAGGTTAGGTAGTAAAAAAAAAAATTGAAAAACTCAAAATGAAAACACACTTTTTTTGTGTTTTTATTTTTTTGCCAAAATTTATAAATGAGACCAACTAATTTTTATAATCAAAAAATTTTACCAAACAAAGTTTTTATTTGAGTTTTTAATTTTGTAATATAAACAGAAAACTGGAAAATGTTAGGGTGTGTTTGGTAATATTTACGTTTTCAGTTTATATTTACAAAAATATTTATTAAACTGGTTTTTGTTTATTTTTTGTTTAATTTTTAGAAAACATAAACTACAAACACGTTTGATAATTGAGCAAAAGTTTACAAAATTAAAAAATATAAAAAAAAAGTGAAAAATGGCAATGGCGGCCGAAAGAACGGTGGGTGGTGGGTAGCTGGTGGTGTGGGTGCGGTGGCGGGGGGGTGGTGACGGTAGCGGGTGGTAGTGAGTGATGGTGGTGGTGGTGGTGAATGGTGGTGGCGAGTGGTGGAAAGTGGTGAACGTGGGTGGTGGTACCTAGTGGTGGTGGGTAGTAGCGGGTGGGTGGTGACGGTGGCGGGTGTAGCGAGTGGGTGGTGATGGTGGTGATGGTGGTGGCAGTGGCAAGTGGCGGTGCGGTGGTGGTGGTGTGGCAGGTGGTGCGGATGGCGGGTGTGGCGGGTGGCTGGTAATGGATGGATGGATGACAGTGGCGGGTGGTGGGTGTGGCGAGTTGTGGTGGTGTGGTGGCGGTGGCGGTGGCGGTGGCTATAGCGGGTGGTGGTGTGGCAGGTGGTGTGACCGGATGGCGGGTGTGGCGGGTGGGTTGGTGGTGGTGATGGTGGTTGGTAGGTGACGGTAGGCGGTGGTGGGTGGTAGCGAGTAGGTTTGTGGTGGTTGATGGTGGCGGGTGGTTGGTGGTGTTGGCAGTGGATGCGAATGGGCGGGTGGTGGCGGGTGGTAGTGGTGGTGGGTGGGATTAATTTTTTAACTTTCTTGACAAAAGTATGATAGATTCACTGTAAGTGATGGGATTAAACATATACCATAGAGAAAACCTATCAGTGCCTAACGTAAGGGAAATACACCTTTTAGACAAAGTAAGAAAGTGAAAATGAATTTCATCATAGATGAGTCCAACTATGGGTAGTAATTCTTGATAAACTTTGCATTGAGCGGGCCAGTTCGGAAGCCATCTTCAACCCTTACAAGCTTGTAGTACCCGCTTGAGCTCGCCTGAACCACCTTGTAGGGCCCTTCCCATTTTGGAGAAAACTTGGGTAAAGGCTGTCCTCGCATGATTGGGTCTACAATCTTCCATACTAGATCACCTTCTTCAAACTTCCTTGGTATCACAGTCTGGTTATAGGCTCGGGCGATGGACTCATGATACCTTTCCATGACTTTTGCAGCTCTGTCATGCTTTTCCTCTAATGCTTCCAATCTGGTGGTTCGAGGCTCCAATACCATCCCCGAGGCGAGAGCCATTCGAGCAGATGGCGTTTCCAACTCTATAGGTAACACTGCCTCGGACCCATACACAAGGGAGTTAGGAGTTGCTTGAGTTGGCTTTCTCTTTGAAGTGCGATACGCCCATAGGGCTACTATCAACTGTTCGGACCAAGTCCCCCCAAACTCATCCATCATCTTGCTCAGAATCCTTATCAGTGTCTTGTTTGTGGCTTCCGCCTGCCCGTTCCCTTTTGGGTAGTAGGGTGTGGATTTGTGATGCTTCACTTGGTAAGTCTCTAGGAGGCTCTTCACATCTTTGTTTATGAAGGGAGTGCCGTTATCCGAGAGGATGGTGTTTGGTACTCCAAATCGGCAAATGATATTCTCCTTGATGAAGTTCGCAACTGCAGGCCCCGTAGCGTTCTTCAGAGGAATTGCTTCGACCCATTTTGTACTCAATTCTGTGGCTGCGAGAATCCACTTGTACCCCTTAGAAGATGTGGAGATGGGCCCTATCAGATCAAAAGCCCAAGTATGGAACGACCATGGCGTTCAGATACTATGCAGGTCTACAGCTGGAGCATGGATCAAATTTCCGTGTTTCTGACAAGTCTGGCACCTCTTCACGTGATGGGATGCATCTGACTCCATGGTCGGCCAGTAATACCCAAGGTGTATAAGTTGTTCGAACAGCCGAGCCCCTCCTTGATGTTCAATCTCGTGGGCTCTTCTGAGGACTAGGTCTGACTCCTCCTTGGAGAGACATCTCAGGGGAGTGCCCTCAATACTTCTTCTATACAGCTTGTCCTGATCAAGAAAGTACCGCCTTGCTCTCCTCTTGAGGTGTGCAATGTCCCTCGGGCTCTCAGGTAGTGTTCCTTCTTTGAGATAGTCAATGTAGACTTGCCTCCAGTCAGGGGTATCAATTTCAAAGCAACTCTCATCCTCCCGGATGTATGACTGACACTTGGGGCATTCCTTCTGTAATTGATTTGAGTCCTTCTCCATCTCGGGCCAATAATAACCTTGTCTTTGGATTCTTCTATACAGACTGATATCCCCATCCCCGCAAGACTTTTCATGGATTTGTTGTAGTCGGAAGCTTGCTTCTTGTTGGCCAATACACCGGGCTAGGAATCCGGTACCTCCTTGGAAGTAAAGTTCACCTTGAATAATTGTGAATTGGGCAAGCTTGGCCATAGTCATTTTTCCAACTTTGCTTCTGAGTTGTTCGAGGACTTCTCCTCTCCAGTCCTCTGGAAGGCCTTTGTCTTCGGGTATTATTGAAGGTTCTGTTCTTTTCTTGATAACAATTGTTGCCTCTTCCTCTGGAATGTCAACTCTTGCCCCTAATGTTGCGAGGGCATCTGAAAACTTGTTGTCGGAGCGAGGCACATGCTCTATTTCGACCTTCTGAAATTTGTCAAGAAGCCTTTGGACTGTTGTTCGATATGTGGCCAAAGCAGGCTCCTTTAAGACGAACTGTCCTGAAACTTGCTTCACTATCAGCTTTGAGTCCCCCCAGATCCAAATCTTCTTGATATTGTGCTTCCCAGCTGCTATCAAGCCTAAAATAAGAGCCTCATGCTCGGCTTCGTTATTCGAACAATGGAAATCTAGTTTATAAGACAAATATAACTTTTTCCCACTTTTGCTTGTAAGGACTATCCCGGTTCCTCCTTTTCCTCCGGCTGCTGCTCCATCAAAGCTCAATGTCCAAAAGCTTTCCTCGGAAGCCATAGCTACATGCACCTCTCCTCTTAATTCTTCATTCACTGGTTCATAGTCACCACTTGGAAATTGAGCAAGGAGATCAGCTAAGGCTTGGCTTTTGATTGCCTTGGGAGCTACACATGTGATCTCGAATTCACCCAGTGCTAACAACCATCTTGCCACCTTCCCGGTTAGAGCAGGCTTGCTGAGGAGGTATCGGATTGGATCACTTCTAGTAACAATCTGAATCTGATGTGCTAGGAAGTAATGTCTGAGCTTTTGGGCAGTGAATACCAAAGCTAAGCAATGTCTCTCTACCGGAGTATATCGGACTTCTGCTCCTCGAATCTTCCGGCTGATATAATACACCGGGCGTTCTACTCCATCTACATCTTGGACTAATAATGCCCCTATGGACTTTGGGGTTGAAGTTAGGTACAACATTAGAGAGACCCCGGGCTGCGGGGCTATCATGGTCTGTGGCGAGGTTAAAGCCGCCTTGATTCTCTCAAAGGCCTTTTGGTGATCTTGGTTCCACTCGAACTTGGCATCTCCTTTTAACAAAGAGCCGAAAGGCGCAGAGATCTCTGCCAGTGCTGGGATAAACCTCCAAATATAAGACACCTTTCCGAGGAACTTCTTTAACTCCTTCTGAGAATGCGGGGGAGGCATTGCTCTGATAGATTTGACCTTGTCTTCATCTGCCTCGATACCATGCCTATGTATAAGAAACCCGAGGAACCTCCCGGCCGTCACCTCGAAAGCACATTTGAGAGGATTCATCCTCATTTTGAATTTCTGGCACCTCTTGAATACCTTCTCAAGGTCTCGGAGATGGTCTTCTTCTTTCTTGGATTTCACCACTAGATCATCAACATAATCTTCCACCTCATGATGGATCATGTCATGAAAGATTGCAGTCATAGCCCTTTGGTAAGTTGCACCGGCATTCTTGAGTCCGAAAGGCATGACTGTATAGAAGAAGTTTCCGAGAGGTGTTCTAAAAGCAGTCTTTTCTGCGTCCTCTTCAGCCATCTTAATCTGATTGTATCCACTGAATCCATCCAAGAATGAGAACATCTGGTGTCCCGAGGTAGTATCCACGAGGGTGTCGATGTGAGGAAGAGGGAATTCATCCTTCGGGCAAGATTTGTTCAAATCTCGAAAGTCTACACATACTCTGATTTGACCATTCTTCTTCTTTACTGGCACAATGTTTGCTAACCACGTGGGGTACTGTATTGGCCGGATGATACCAGCTTGTTGAAGTTTTTCAATCTCCTCCTTAATCTTCTCTTCGAGATCTGGATGATATTTTCGAACAGCTTGCTTAATTGGCTTGGAGTTTGGGAACACATCAAGATAGTGGGATACTAGGTCAGGATCTAGTCCGGGCATTTCCTTATATGACCAAGCGAACACATCTGAGTATCGGCTTATCAACTTTAACAATTGTTCCCACTTCTCTAGGCTAAGGGTCGAACTTACGAATATCGGCCTCGGTGCATCTTGTCCATCACTCAGATCTATTTCAATAAGTTGTTCGGGCTGAGGCTTCGGTCCATCTTGCATGCATTCTGGAGCTACCTCAGGCTTTATTACTATATCATTGTCGGGAGGCTCTTCTTTTGACTCGGAGTCGGTGACTGAAGAAACCGACTCCCCGCACCTTCATAGATAGTACACCATCTTGCCTCATTCTCGGACTTTTATCACCTTCCAAGGAATAGGCGGACTTTCTGGTCTAGACATCGCCCGCTTACTTGATTCTGCCATCGGCTCCTTGTCATCTTTGATATCCTCCCAACGAGGAATTTTGACCCCTCGAGGCTTAAAGGTGGTGGCAACTTCTTCGACAGCCAATTCGGTGAAGTAGATGGCATCAGAATAATGAGCTTCATGGATCTCGAAAGGCCTTTCTGTAGCTTGAATTGTCACCGTCTTCTTTCCCCATTTAGCCTTAACACACTGATGATAACTTGATGGTACAGCCCCATATCTATGCATCCAGGTACTCCCTAGAATGATGTGATAATTTGCCTCAGAATCGATAATATGGAACTTGGTGGCCGAGTGAATCTCTCCGATGGCTAAATCAATTGTTACGCATCCGATAGTAACTCTCCTTTCTCCACCGAAGCCAGTGATGACTATCGGCTGCTTCACAATGCGTTCTTCAGAGATTCCGGCCTTTTCTAGAGTAGCGCGAGTCATAATGTTGATAGAGGCTCCACTATCTAGAAAGGCCCTTTTGAACTCAACTCCGTTAATAAAAGCAGTCACATAAGGCAGACGATTGTGAGAAAAGGGATACTTCCGATAAGCCTCAGAAAAAGTAATGGCACTAGATTGCTCTTTTGCCTTCCTCGGGATAGACCCCTCAGTCAACATGCATTACTCATGGTGTGCCTCGGCTATATTAATGATAGACTTGGTGATTTCTGTTCTTGCCTCCCTGGAAAGTCCAAGCTGGTCAAAGAACTATTTGAACTTTACACAGTCTTGCAAGGTTTTGGCATAGTGATCTGGATCTTTTTCCATTCTTGGAGGCTCGTAGTTAACCATCTCCTCGGTCTCTTCAAAATAAGATGCCACATAAACATGGTGTCCTCCTCTTCCATAGTATTCTTCTCCTCCTTCTGGATCAAAGGGATCTTCGCCATGAGTCATAAATGTTCTGCCCTCTGGATC